CAGTATTCATTAGTGCAGTTGCTTGAGCTAAGCTCAGAGACAGAAAGCTGAGGAGACACAGAGAAATGTTAGATTAACAGCTTATACCAGAAAGATAATTAATTGCCTAGACCGTGTGACAGAAGACCTCCTGAAATATAAAATGTCTTTCGATGAAGCTGCACGAATGTTATCACGGCCAGTTGTCTATGGGAAATGATGGTGATATAGTAATTTATATTTGCATTTAACTTTTGCTATAACTTTGAGTGTGCTCATTGCTTTTCGCGTTTGATCTGCGTAAGTGGCAATATTGTTCCAGGTAAACGAAGTCATAGGTGTGCAGCAACTGTCACAGAGTTTATTACCAGCAATCGTAGACCTGGCTGAGGATGGAAAGTGGCGAGTTCGTCTTGCGATCATTGAGTACATGCCTCTGCTTGCCGCTCAGCTAGTAAGTGCTATTTTTGATTTTGTTTGCAAGGGTGTATAAGCATAGTTTTGTTTCGCATATGCTGCTGATAACGAGGTTAAACGCAGCAATGCTTAATTCTTAACTTAAATTTCGTCCCCCTTTTAAGGGCATAGTACCTTTTTTTAAATGGTACTTTTCATTTGTTCAACCTTTACTTAAAGACAGCTTTGTATTGTTGACGTGCATTTTTGACACTTGATTTGGAGTTGTGTGGAGGACTGAACAAAATTTCAAGTAAAATGCTGTTTTCAGGGGCAGCAATTTTTTGAAGAAAAACTGCTTGATTATTGTGTCAAATGGCTGACCGATCACGGTTTGTTTGTTCATGAAACTTTTCATTTCTGATTTATCATATTTCAGTATTTGCCATTAGAGAGGCGGCTACAAACAACCTGCGAAAACTTGTTGAAAAGTTCGGCGCTGATTGGGCAGTGAGAACTGTATTTCCGAAAGTTTTGATGCTTGCAAGCCAAAACAACTACCTTCAACGGCTAACTTGCTTGTTTTGCATAAATGTAATCTGTGACTGAGTTTCATCACAGTTTCAGCTTTTTACTTCTGCGTTTTTTAGGTCCTTGCTGAAGCTTGCGGGCAATCAGTGACCGTGCAACATTTGCTACCGACGATTATCAAACTTTCTGGCGATTCAGTTCCGAACGTTCGTTTTAACGTAGCGAAAACTTTAGCAATTATAGGGCCCACTTTTGATCAGAAGTAGGGCGATGTTTTCCCTATATGCTACGGACATAAAAATAAACAAGTTCGGCTTTTAGAGCTCTCAACGTGGATGTCAAGCCTATACTAGCAAAGCTTTGTGGCGACGCTGACTTCGATGTTAGGTACTTTGCAGACGAGGCGAAAAAAAGTATTCTTCCACAGCGTTATGTAAACACATTCAGTAAAATGTAAATTTTCATTTCAGCTTTGCATCTGTGAAAAAGCAGCGAAATTAAATTTTATTGCGCTGTACAAATTTGTCTGTGGCTTAATTTATAAATAATAAAGCGTATTTTAGTCTGCTGGAGTTATTTTTTATGTCGTTTAAAAATATTGAAAAACGCTTCTTTCGGAATTTCCACCTGACCAATGAGTTTCATCTTTCGTTTTCCTTCTTTCTGCCGTTCTATGAGTTTCATTAAACGCGATCTGTCGCCGAAGTTGCCCTTTAGTTTCTGCGTAAAGTCTTTACGCGCTGCTCTGATTGACTCTTTTGCAATGATTTTCTTTCCGATGGCAGCTTGTATTCTCACGTCGTAAAGCTGCTGATCGAGTTCAGCCTTTAGTCGAGTGCATAATTCCTGACCATTTTTTATAGCTTTTTCCCTATGGGTTATGCAGGAAAGCTCTTCAATACATTTGCCGTTCACCAGTAAACTCAATTTGACTAAATCCGCTGGTCGATAACCGTTTACTTCGTAGTCCATCGTTGCATAACCAGATGTTATCTCTTTCAGATCTGCGAAAAAGTTCTGAATTAGATCGGCTAGCGGAATGTCATATTTTAGCAGCATTCGGTCATGACTGATCATCTCGATTTCTTTTTCAACACCGTCCATTGTCATGCACAAATTTAAAATTTTTCCGTAGTAATCTTTAGGCGTCACTATGGTGCAGGTCGCGATCGGTTCTAGGTATCCTTCGACGTCAGTCACTAAGGGAAATTCGTTTGGGCTCGTAATGATTATTTCCGCTTTATTATCGTATCGCTTGCGAATACCTGGATTGTCTTTTATTACCGCTTTGTAAGGAACACTGGGTGCCGTAAGGATGACGCTCAGTTCGTGTTCGTCGTCCAAACGTTGACTAAATACTTCCATATGAAGAATACCCAAGAAACCGGCTCTCCATCCGTTTCCCAAAGCGGGACTGTGATCTGGAGTCATGCTTACTGAGGGGTCTGTCAGCAGTAGCTTTTCGAGGGCATTTCTGACTAATTCGTGTTCAGCGGTATTTACCTATAATTACCAAGACTATCTTACCAGTTATCAAAACAGCATATTTTACTGGAAACAGACCCGCGAATACCATCGGCTTGACTTTATGGAATCCAGGAAACGGTTGAACATGTTGAGATACTTCGCAAAGCGTGTCCCCGATATAAGCTTCATCTGGTCGTCGCATATTGGCCAAAATGTAACCGACTTGTCCAGCTTTAAGTCGATCAACGGCGACCGGATCCGGCCGCAGAATGCCGACCTCCACGACTTCATAGGTTTTCTCGCTGTGTATGCTTTTGATCTTCTTGCCCCTTTCTAGACAACCATCACGGACCAACACAACGGCATAGCAACCTCGAAATTGTTCGTACCACGAGTCGAAAATGAGCGCCTTCAATGGCAGATCAAGGTTGCTTTTTGGTGGTGGAACACGTTCTATAATTGCTTCGAGCACTGCTGGCACCCCTGGAAATGTAAAGGTTAACTTTGATTGAATATCAACACCAAAATCTTACCACTGCCGGTTTTCGCTGATATTTTTAGGCATTCCCGCGCATCGAAATCGAACAGACTCGCCAACTGCTTTACAACATCATCGCTTCTTGAGACATCTACATCGCACTTATTCAAAACGGGGATTATCGACAAATTTTTCTCGAAAGCAAGCCAAAAGTTTGCAACCGTCTGCGCTTGAACGCCTTGAGTGACGTCCACCAACAAAACAGCACCATCACATGCTGCCATTGATTTCGAAACTTCGTACGAAAAGTCTACGTGACCGGGAGTGTCTATCAGGTTGCAAAGGTACAGCCCAGATTGGCTGCTGTGAAACATGGTAGCCGTCTGCGCTTTCACCGTGATTCCTCTTTCACGTTCGACTCTACAATGAAGGTTTTCTTGGTATCGTTTAGCTGATATAGGGATTTTATTTATTGCTTGTAAAAATTAGAATAGAAATTCATTTTGTAGTATAGTCATCGCCAGAATTTTTAAAGGTTCAATGAATAACTTTCCACCCGCATAAAAAAATCAAGTAATCACTTAAAATTTTGCAGCGCAATAGAACAAATAATGAAAAATCTTTTGATGATGCGGCTTAAAGACCAAAATTTAGTGCCTGCAACCGTTTCGCTCTAACAGCAAAATTTTAGTGAATTTGATAATTTGCAACCACGGTTTAGGATAACCAGCAATAAAGCAGATAAATTTGGGTCAAAATCAGTATATTTCACTGATCTCGATGTTATCAAAAAGCCATCATCCGCCAAAAATACAATAGCCTTACTTTAAGCGATCAAGCACCTGCAAGTTATTGGTGTTCTTTTCAATCGTGTCGGTTATCTCCAGGAGTCTGTCAGCCAAAGTACTCTTTCCGTGGTCAATGTGGGCGATTATGCAGAAATTTCGTATCTTGTCAATCGCGATGTTACTCAGCGTTTTTTGCACTTGTTCCACTGTTGACACTGACATACGACCCCAGAACTGCCTCCTGTAACGTAGCCAGCTTCGCACCAGATTCTTACACAAGGTACTAACAGCCATCGAAGACTAAAATTTTGAAAATTTGCTGATATAATAGTGTCGACGATGAGTTGCGCGATTATAGTTGCTGGATAAACAGTTTCACATAAAAAAAATTGGGTCATAAAGATACACAAGTTTCATGTAAGTTTGTACCATTGCATACTTGAATAAAACTTTATTTTTTATAAACATTATAACTATATCAAAACAATGATGAAAACTGAAAAAGAACATTAGAAATAGTAGGCTTATATGTGAACAGATTTACATGAGCATGCATTCGCGCTGAAATTTAGCAGTCACGTAATATATAACAACATATTCTTTACATAATATATTTCGCAAAAACAAACGAACGTCACCACTAGACAGATTTTTCTGACATGATCAAAGAACTGCAATTCTCTTCCCTCTATCTGCCAGCTTCACAAGTACATAAACGGAAGGGCAATTTTTGTCGACAATAAATCCATGGTCGTGTAAAACAAAACAAATGTTAATTGAAGCACCGAGTCCCATTCAGATGAGAA